GAACTAGAACTGAACTAGAACTGAACTAGAACTGAACTAGAACTGAACTAGAACTGAACTAGAACTGAACTCGAACTGAACTAGAACTGAACTAGAACTGAACCTAGAACTGAAACTAGAACTGACTAGAACTGAACTAGAACCTGAACAGAACTGAACTAGAACTGAACTAGAACCTGAACTAGAACTGAACTAGAACTGAACTAGAACTGAACTAGAACTGAACTAGAACTGACTAGAACTGAACTAGAACTGAACTAGAACTGAACTAGAAACTGACACTAGAACTGAACTAGAACTGAACTAGAACTGAACTAGAACTGAACTAGAACTGAACTAGAACTGAACTAGAACTGAACTAGAACTGAACTAGAACTGAACTAGAACTGAACTAGAACTGAACTAGAAGTGAACTAGAACTGAACTAGAACTGAACTAGAACTGAACTAGAACTGAACTAGAACTGAACTAGAACTGAACTAGAACTGAACTAGAACTAGAACTGAACTAGAACTAGAACTGAACTAGAACTAGAACTGAACTAGAACTAGAACTGAACTAGAACTAGAACTGAACTAGAACTAGAACTGAACTAGAACTGAACTAGAACTGAACTAGAACTGAACTAGAACTAACGACTAGAACTAGAACTGAACTAGAACTGAACTAGAACTGAACTAGAACTGAACTAGAACTGAACTAGAACTGAACTAGAACTGAACTAGAACTGAACTAGAACTGAACTAGAACTGAACTAGAACTGAACTAGAACTGAACTAGAACTGAACTAGAACTGAACTAGAACTGAACTAGAACTGAACTAGAACTGAACTAGAACTGAACTAGAACTGAACTAGAACTGAACTAGAACTGAACTAGAACTGAACTAGAACTGAACTAGAACTGAACTAGAACTGAACTAGAACTGAACTAGAACTGAACTAGAACTGAACTAGAACTGAACTAGAACTGAACTAGAACTGAACTAGAACTGAACTAGAACTGAACTAGAACTGAACTAGAACTGAACTAGAACTGAACTAGAACTGAACTAGAACTGAACTAGAACTGAACTAGAACTGAACTAGAACTGAACTAGAACTGAACTAGAACTGAACTAGAACTGAACTAGAACTGAACTAGAACTGAACTAGAACTGAACTAGAACTGAACTAGAACTGAACTAGAACTGAACTAGAACTGAACTAGAACTGAACTAGAACTGAACTAGAACTGAACTGAACTAGAACTGAACTAGAACTGAACTAGAACTGAACTAGAACTGAACTAGAACTGAACTAGAACTGAACTAGAACTGAACTAGAATTGAACTAGAACTGAACTAGAACTGAACTAGAACTGAACTAGAACTGAACTGAACATAAACTAGAACTCAACTAGAACTAGGACAATTTTGTATAAAAATTGATCACTTTTCAATCATTTTTTTAACTGTACATCGACAATTTTATTTTTAATTATTTTAATTTATTTTATTATCAAAAATACATATGCTATGAATAGAAAGTCACAAATTCCCCGGAATTCTGGTGGAAAACCCTTCTATACATAGCATTGTAAAAATCCAGTTACAAATTTCAAAACATTTATTTGTCAGTACAATTATTTGAAGAATAAGAAAGAAATGTGCTAGAAAGGAAGTGGTAATATTTCAAGGATAATTAAAGGAATGCACACAAAATTAAAAAATTAAATTAAGCCTAAAAAAAATATTTTGAAATCAAACCAGTAGTTTAAAATTTAAAATTAAGAAAAATTTTGCTTTTATGGAATTAATTATGCCTAAAATTAAACCTCCAAGTTTTAATTCCTTTAAAAAATTAAATTAATTCATTTAAAACCTCAACGTATGTGTGTGTAATGAGTAGTGATAAAAATCTCTCATATCTACTTTTCTATGTTATATAATCCTTTTTTTTATTTTTTTAAGTATGTTTTTAATTATTTATCTACAACACATATTCTAAGTACTTCTTTGTCATTTTAATTACATCTCTTTTTATTTCATTGTTACACAAACATTCTCACAAATTAATTTATATAAATGTGCGCATTTCCTTTCTTAGACTTCCTTATCCTGTTGAGGACTTAATTGATAGACAAGATAATTTACCTTTATCTAACTGCAAAAGTAAAATAAAACATTTTTATACAATTTTTAAGATTTGAAGACATTTTAGCAAATGTTTTATCATTAATTCATTAAATGTATGTATGTTTCAATTTAAATGTTACATCATGTGTTTTATATAAATAAATTTAAATTAAATTTCCGTTTCCTTTCTGCTGATGTATGATGAATATTTAATTCGTTATGAATATTGTAAATAATAATCATACACAAATTGTGTCAAATTGATAACGTTCAAATGCTTGCAAGTGTAATTTAATAAATAGTATGATTTTAATTACTTAAACACTTTGTAAAATGACATTGTAATATTAAGTTTGAATGAAAATTGTTAACAAAAGCTCTTTCTTTTTGGGTAATTGATTGTAAAATTTAAAAATAAGTACTTTTGAAAAATTTTTATGGAAAATTTCAACAAAATGGTAAACGAATCGTGTTTTAAATTACTGAAATTAACTAGAACTAAACTAGAACTAAACTAGAACTGAACTAGATCTGAAATAGAACTGAACTAGAACTAAACTAGAACTAAACTAGAACTAAAACTAGAACTGAACTAGATCTGAACTAGAACTGAACTAGAACTGAACTAGAACTGAACTAGAACTGAACTAGAACTGAACTAGAACTGAACTAGAACTGAACTAGAACTGACTAGAACTGAACTAGAACTGAACTAGAACTGAACTAGAACTGAACTAGAACTGAACTAGAACTGAACTAGAACTGAACTAGAACTGAACTAGAACTGAACTAGAACTGAACTAGAACTGAACTAGAACTGAACTAGAACTGAACTAGAACTGAACTAGAACTGAACTAGAACTGAACTAGAACTGAACTAGAACTGAACTAGAACTGAACTAGAACTGAACTAGAACTGAACTAGAACTGAACTAGAACTGAACTAGAACTGAACTAGAACTGAACTAGAACTGAACTAGAACTGAACTAGAACTGAACTAGAACTGAACTAGAACTGAACTAGAACTGAACTAGAACTGAACTAGAACTGAACTAGAACTGAACTAGAACTGAACTAGAACTGAACTAGAACTGAACTAGAACTGAACTAGAACTGAACTAGAACTGAACTAGAACTGAACTAGAACTGAACTAGAACTGAACTAGAACTGAACTAGAACTGAACTAGAACTGAACTAGAACTGAACTAGAACTGAGAACTAGAACTGAACTAGAACTGAACTAGAACTGAACTAGAACTGAACTAGAACTGAACTAGAACTGAACTAGAACTGAACTAGAACTGAACTAGAACTGAACTAGAACTGAACTAGAACTGAACTAGAACTGAACTAGAACTGAACTAGTACTGAACTAGAACTGAACTAGAACTAGAACTGAACTAGTACTGAACTAGATCTGAACTAGAACTGAACTAGAACTGAACTAGAACTGAACTAGAACTGAACTAGAACTGAACTAGAACTGAACTAGAACTGAACTAGAACTGAACTAAAACTGAACTAGAACTGAACTAGAACTGAACTAGAACTGAACTAGAACTGAACTAGAACTGAACTAGAACTGAACTAGAACTGAACTAGTACTGAACTAGAACTGAACTAGAACTAGAACTGAACTAGAACTAGAACTGAACTAGTACTGAACTAGAACTGAACTAGAACTGAACTAGAACTGAACTAGAACTGAACTAGAACTGAACTAGAACTGAACTAGAACTGAACTAGAACTGAACTAGAACTGAACTAGTACTACTAGAACTAGAACTGAACTAGAACTGAACTAGAACTGAACTAGAACTGAACTAGAACTGAACTAGAACTGAACTAGAAACTGAACTAGAACTGAACTAGAACTGAACTAGAACTGAACTAGAACTGAAACTAGAACTGAACTAGAACTGAACTAGAATGAACTAGAACTGAACTAGAACTGAACTAGAACTGAACTAGAACTGAACTAGAACTGAACTAGAACTGAACTAGAACTGAACTAGAACTGAACAGAACTGAACTAGAACTGAACTAGAACTGAACTAGAACTGAACTAGAACTGAACTAGAACTGAACTAGAACTGAACTAGAACTGAACTAGAACTGAACTAGGAACTGAACTAGAACTGAACTAGAACTGAACTAGAACTGAACTAGAACTGAACTAGAACTGAACTAGAACTGAACTAGAACTGAACTAGAACTGAACTAGAAACTGAACTAGAACTGAACTAGAACTAGAACTGAACTAGAACTGAACTGAACTGAACTATAACTGAACTAGAACTGAACTAGAACTGAACTAGAACTGAACTAGAACTGAACTAGAACTGAACTAGAACTGAACTAGAACTGAACTAGAACTGAACGAGAACTGAACTAGAACTGAACTAGAACTGAACTAGAACTGAACTAGAACTGAACTAGAAACTGAACTAGAACTGAACTAGAACTGAACTAGAACTGAACTAGAATGAAACTAGAACTGAACTAGAACTGAACTAGAACTGAAACTAGACCTGAACTAGAACTGAACTGAACGAACTAGAACATGAACTAAACTGAACTAGAACTGAACTAGAAACTGAACTAGAACTGAACTAGAACTGAACTAGAACTGAACTAGAACTGAACTAGAACTGAACTAGAACTGAACTAGAACTGAACTAGAACTGAACTAGAACTGAACTAGAACTGAACTAGAACTGAACTAGAACTGAACTAGAACTGAACTAGAGCTGAACTAGAGCTGAACTAGAATTGAACTAGAACTGAACTAGAACTGAACTAGAACTGAACTAAACTAACACTAGAACTGATACCGGCCTCAGATATTTGAGCTATTGCATCAGGAAAGAATTATTTAATCATTTAGTTTTGGAAGTCATTTACAAAAAATTTTGTTTTTATTTCAAAAAATATATTTTAACATTTTAAGTTAATTTTAAAATTTTTAGTGGGCGCATTCTAAGTCGCAAAACCCATTTAAACCTGAATTAAAACAGACGCACAATTGCTAACAGCAATATAAGAAAACCGAAGTTATTTGACAAGCTATTTCCCGAATTCTTTTTCTTATCCTCCTCATAAAAACCAGTCTTCTTCGACAACACAATAACTTGTGAGGGTTCTGCCGGGGCTGGAATTGGAACTGGAGCAACTGGGGCAACGGGCTGTACATGATGGTGGACTATAGCTGGTTGTGGTAGATGATGATTAACAACAGGCATCACGGGTAAAGCAGGTACTATATTGCCAGAGTGTTCAGGAGCTGGAACAGCTACTGGTGCTGCCGGTTGTACAGAATGTTGTACTATTGCTGGTTGTGGTATATGATGCTTTATAACTGGTATTGTGGGTAAATCAGGCACTAAATTAGTAGATTGTTCAGGTGCTGGAGGAATGGGATTAAGCGGAGCTAAAACTGCGTTATGAGCTGGTTCTGTGTTTGGTGAAAATTCAGCAGGGGTTTCGAGAGTTTGTGGTGCAGGATTAACTTCAATGGGGGCAGCAGGTTGCTCGGGAATTGGTTGTGGTATTAAAGGTGCTGCTGGTACATATGTAGGAGCCGGAATATGTTGTGAATTAACATCTGTTGGTGTTTGAGGGAATGAAGGAACTGGTGCATGTACAACTGGTATTATTGGTTGAGGCTGTTGTACTGGTATTTGATGTACATATAAAGGTGGCGCTGGCTGTGGCAAAAATTGTGGACATATCAATTGTGCCGTTTCGATAAATCTCGTTGGATCATTCACATCGGGTTCCTTAATAATTTCTTTATAACAACCGTTCGAAAAAGTTTCACCTCTTTCGATTATGGTAGAAGGTCTTGGTTGTGGCATTGGATTAGGAATGGGTGCTGCAATGGGAGCGGCAGCATTAGGGTCTATAACATGATGATGATGATGGACTTCCTGTGGTGCGTTTGGACGGGTTAATATATGGCCCATAGCAGCTCCAGCTAAACCACCAGCTAAAATACCGGCGCCTAAAAAGAAAATTAGAAAAATATTTGAAAGTTTAATTGAAAGTGAAATCCTTATGTTTGTAATATTACTATTTTTATTTTTCTAATATTTTTGCATATTTTGGACCAACATTTATCCACAACTACGTATTAAAGATTTGTATTCTAATTTTTTTTCACCCACCAAATGCTTTTCCCCTTCCTTTTTGCGGCGGCTGATATCTGCCGCATTCAACTCTTTCCGATAGTCCCAGTAATTGTATAATTACAAATAATACAAATAATCTGTTTAATTTATTCGTCATTTTAATTTTACAATATATTTTCACCCAAAAATAATGATTTAATTATTTCGTTTCTACGTCTCAAACTCAACTAAAAAAATATTCGACAATATCCATTGAATTGTCTAAATTTATTACCAAAAATTATAAATTGTGCGTATTTTTCATATTTGTGGTACTTAACCTATTCGACATTCTTAATAATTTCATTTGTTTGAACAGTATTTATGTGTTTTACCAAAACACTTGTGTTTTTCTATGTACACAAGAGAAAAATACCAAACGTTTATCTAGTATATATTTTAATTATTTGCCTTTATTACTTATATATGTAGATATTGATTTAAGAAGAGATCAATTTAACTCTTTATATATCATTTTACTGTTAGGGTTATTTTAGTGAATCATTGACATTGAAACGTGTATTAATAAACTTTTCAAATAATATTCTTGAACTAGAACTAAACTAGACCTGACTAGAACTGAACTAGAACTGAACTAGAACTAAACTAGAACTGAACTAGAACTGAACTAGAACTGAACTAGAACTGAACTAGAACTGAACTAGAACTGAACTAGAACTAGAACTGAACTAGAACTGAACTAGAACTGAACTAGAACTGAACTAGAACTGAACTAGAACTGAACTAGAACTAGAACTGAACTAGAACTGAACTAGAACTGAACTAGAACTGAACTAGAACTGAACTAGAACTGAACTAGAACTGAACTAGAACTGAACTAGAACTGAACTAGAACTGAACTAGAACTGAACTAGAACTGAACTAGAACTGAACTAGAACTGAACTAGAACTGAACTAGAACTGAACTAGAACTGAACTAGAACTGAACTAGAACTGAACTAGAACTGAACTAGAACTGAACTAGAACTGAACTAGAACTGAAGTTAATGTTTAACAATTTAAAATATTACATGCAAATTTTAGAAACAGATCTAGTAACTTTTTAATTCTAACATAATTATGCATTTTTTAAAGTAAACAATTTAATCCAGATACACAAGTGCAATTAAAATAAATATTTAATAAATTATTTAATAATTACGACAATTTAGACCGTAACAGAATTTTTTAAATTGGCGAAAAAGATAGTTTTAATTTAAACTTCGTAAAGAAAACATTACTAGTGTAACTACAGGCATAAGAAACATTTAAAACGATTAAAATGTATTTTAAGAGTTTGCTGATATTTTTACAAATTGTCTGCGTAATTCAACAAATAGATATGCAACAAGTTGGAAGTATATCTTATAGTTAAATAGAAAACTACGTTTATTTAACAATTACATCTTCCAGGCTATTATCATTATCCCACCAATAATCATACCATCTCATTGACCACCATAGAACGTCTGGAGACTTATCCAAATGGTTGTTACAAACAACGAATAAGATCACCAGATCTCTCGAATACCACCAGATTTTTTGAAACTGAAGAATTTATATGTCCACCCGGGGTCAATGTTACCTTCATACCAACCAATACGACACAAAATATTACAACTGCACACACCTATAATCCACAAATAAGACCTGCTCATACTGCTCCCATTGGTTTTATGTCATCATCACCACCAGCTCATTCTGCACCATATGCTCCAAATCCCGTTGTTATACAATCACCCCAAAACATTCCACATACTGGACAGCAGCAACCATTTTCACCAGCAGGTATTCCTTCGAATACTACATCACAAGTTGTAGTTCTTTCTAAGAAAACTGGCTTATATGACCATGATAAGAACCACAGAAAAAGTTCTGCAAATTCTTTGTACAATATTAATTGCATTTTTGTGTTTTGTGTGTTTTTAGTAATAATTTACAATTTCAATTAAACTCGTTTACGTCAACATATCGATGACATTGTAACGATGTGTTGTATGAGTAAGTGATTTTAATTGTACATAACTTTTGGAACAATTGTCACATACATATGCATGTGGAAATAAATGAAAGTTTTGTTTAACCTATTTTTAATATTAAAAATTATAAACTAGAATCTAGAACTGAACTAGAACTGAACTAGAACTGAACTAGAACTGAACTAGAACTGAACTAGAACTGAACTAGAACTGAACTAGAACTGAACTAGAACTGAACTAGAACTGAACTAGAACTGAACTAGAACTGAACTAGAACTGAACTAGAACTGAACTAGAACTGAACTAGAACTGAACTAGAACTGAACTAGAACTGAACTAGAACTGAACTAGAACTGAACTAGAACTGAACTAGAACTGAACTAGAACTGAACTAGAACTAGAACTGAACTAGAACTGAACTAGAACTGAACTAGAACTGAACTAGAACTGAACTAGAACTGAACTAGAACTGAACTAGAACTGAACTAGAACTGAACTAGAACTGAACTAGAACTGAACTAGAACTGAACTAGAACTGAACTAGAACTGAACTAGAACTGAACTAGAACTGAACTAGAACTGAACTAGAACTGAACTAGAACTGAACTAGAACTGAACTAGAACTGAACTAGAACTGAACTAGAACTGAACTAGAACTGAACTAGAACTGAACTAGAACTGAACTAGAACTGAACTAGAACTGAACTAGAACTGAACTAGAGCTGAACTAGAACTGAACTAGAACTGAACTAGAACTGAACTAGAACTGAACTAGAACTGAACTAGAACTGAACTAGAACTGAACTAGAACTGAACTAGAACTGAACTAGAACTGAACTAGAACTGAACTAGAACTGAACTAGAACTGAACTAGAACTGAACTAGAACTGAATTAGAACTGAACTAGAACTGAACTAGAACTGAACTAGAACTGAACTAGAACTGAACTAGAACTGAACTAGAACTGAACTAAAACTGAACTAGAACTGAACTAGAACTGAACTAGAACTCAATCAGATCTGAACTAGAACTGAACTAGAACTGAACCAGAACAGAACTAGAAACTTAACTGCAATTTTAAACTTAAAAGTTTAATTTATAACATTTTTTACTTAAGTTCAATTCAATCGCAAAAAGCACAAAAGAAACATTTTATTCAAATTGTTTCGAAAATATGTAAATGTCATTGACATTAAATGAATTTCTTGCAAAATGTCTGCAAATTAATATTAAACACATTTCTAAATTGAATTTTGCCAACCAGACGTATGAGCAATTAAAAAATTCCTTTCAAAATCAAATGAAAAAATACATTACTCATACGCATAAAATTAATTATGCAGATTAAAATGAAAATAATTTTATTATTTGATTGAAAAGTACTGGTTTGGCATTATTAAACACATGTCATTTTCACATGTTGCTAACACCATTTAAAGGAATATTTACAATTTAAAGGCAACAAACTCTTCTTCTTCACACATGTAAGTACAGATTTAAAGACATTAATAGTAATATTATTTGTTATTGTGTTTGTAAATTGCAATAGGCATAACATTTATTTTTAACTTAATGTGTGAATGGATGGATTGTTGCTCAAGTAAAATATATCCTTGAAACAGGTGTTGAATGTGGAGGAAAGTAAAGTGCAGCCGAAGGCTCTAAACAACAAAAGCACAGGAGGAAAATACCATGAAAAGAATACAATTTCAAGTACAGACAAATTAAAATATACATACATATGTATGTATGTATGCAAGTACACAGATATACACTCATTTACTAACATACACATGTATATACGTATTAATATAAAGGTAAAAAGGATATGTATATTTTAAGATGTACATAGAGATATTTTATGGAAGACAGTGAGTGTGCTTATGTTAAAAATTTTTAATAATTTTTTTTAATTATATTGTCGAAAATGTTCGAAATTATTTTCTAAATTTTCCTTCAAAATTTTCCGAAAATTTTCTATAAAAAGGAGAACTTTTCCAAAAAATGAACATAAAAAAGAACTTTTCCGAAAAATTTATATAACTTAGAGAATTTTCCGAAAATTTTCTATAAAAAAAGAGAATTTTTTATAAGAAAAGAGAACATTTTTGAAAATAAGAGAAAAGAGAATATTTAAGAAAAGAAAAATTTCTATAAAAAAATATAAATTTTCTGAACATTTTTTATAAAATAGATAGATTTTCTAAAAAGATACATTTTTCTATTAAAATTAAAGAAATTTCACTAAAATTGTCTCTAAAAAAGAGTAATTTTCTGTAAAAAAGGAGAAATTTTTGAAAATTTTCTATGAATGATTTTCGAAAAAAGTGTATTGAGATGATTTTTTCCTTAATAACCCACTGTTTTTCGAATAATATTATAATGACATTGAAGTATGTAGTTAACGTTGTTGCAGCACCTACAAAAAACAGTAACATGAGATGATGTTTAACAGAAAATAACAAAAAGAGGAAGAATAGAATAGAAATATAACAATTGTTACATCTACACTTTCAACAACATCCTTAACTTTTGCCAACAACTACTACTTATAACAATGATAACAGCACAACTTTTGCTGCGGCAACAATAATAAAAGGTTACAAGTTGTTTGCACCAACAACAATAAAAACACACTTCCATTTACCACATCTCTTGAACTTTTTAATAATGTAGGCAAAAAGAAAAAAGAAAGAGTAGAAAAGTTCATGAAATGTTGATGACATCAACGCCTATGTATGTATTTCTAACTATTCGTCCAAAAAAAGAAATGTTACACATGTTTAAACCTGTGCATGACTTAACATGCTACATACATTTCCAGACAATTCGAAACGAATAAAACTTAGAATGACAAGCAAGGAAGACATTTGTAATCTATAACCTAAAGTCAGCAAGGATTAGAAATGTATATTAGTGTGAGAAAGAAGATAAAGGGTGTTAGGAAAATTTTTAAAGAAATCAAATCAAGTAAATTTATCATAAAAATATAAATTTGAATTTCAAATTAAATCTTAATAAATAATAATTAATATTAATTTTATTTAATTTTTCTTTAAGTTTAATTCCATTTTAAATCTTCCATTTATTTCAATAACAAAATCTCTGCATAATGTCTAAAAATACATTTTAATCCTATAGTTAAGTATAAATATATTTATCCTTACTCTTGCACTTAAAATAGTAGAATGAACAACGAAAATAGAAAAACAAAACTTCATTAATGTTAATTGTGTGTGTCACTTGAAAACAAAATAAAAAATATATAAAAAATAAAAAAAATAAATATAAATATTGCAAATTTCCTTAAGGCTGTTTGGGTATTTAACCTTGTAAATAAAAAATAAATAGAGTAAATAAAAACACTAAAAATAAACGCAGTTAAAATGAATGCAAATACAGCTGGAACCTGGTGGAATGCAAGTTACATGTTTTTTTTCGTTACTTTTTGCACCTACAATAGCTGAAGCATTAGCGGCAACAATAACAACAACACTCTACCAACACTTGTAGTAAACACCTTCATACATCCACTCAGTTACAGTTGTTATTAACTGTTGTTTGTTTTACTAGTATCAAAGGAGGTTAATCGTGCAGTTTGTTAATAATGTTATCCATAAATTCTTACATTTCCTTCTTTTCTATAAAAAGGAGAACTTTTCCAAAAAATGTACATAAAAAAGAACTTTTCCGAAAAATTTATATAACTAAGAGAATTTTCCGAAAATTTTCTATAAAAAAGAGTAAATTTTCCGAAAATTTTCTATAAAAAAGATAATTTTTTTAAGAAAAGAGAACATTTTTGAAAATAAGAGAAAAGAGAATTGGTTTACGTGGTAGTTCACAGCGTGCGAACTGTCAAATAGAATCTAAGTCTAGTCTATAGTCTAGTCTATAGTCTAGTCTATAGTCTAGTCTATAGTCTAGTCTATAGTCTAGTCTATAGTCTAGTCTATAGTCTAGTCTATAGTCTAGTCTATAGTCTAGTCTATAGTCTAGTCTATAGTCTAGTCTATAGTGTAGTCTATAGTCTAGTCTATAGTCTAGTCTATAGTCTAGTCTATAGTCTAGTCTATAGTCTAGTCTATAGTCTAGTCTATAGTCTAGTCTATAGTCTAGTCATAGTCTAGTCTATAGTCTAGTCTATAGTCTAGTCTATAGTCTAGTCTATAGTCTAGTCTATAGTCTAGTCTATAGTCTAGTCTATAGTCTAGTCTATAGTCTAGTCTATAGTCTAGTCTATAGTCTAGTCTATAGTCTAGTCTATAGTCTAGTCTATAGTCTAGTCTATAGTCTAGTCTCTAGTCTAGTCTATATAGTCTATAGTCTAGTCTATAGTCTAGTCTATAGTCTAGTCTATAGTCTAGTCTATAGTCTAGTCTATAGTCTAGTCTATAGTCTAGTCTATAGTCTAGTCTATAGTCTAGTCTATAGTCTAGTCTATAGTCTAGTCTATAGTCTAGTCTATAGTCTAGTCTATAGTCTAGTCTATAGTCTAGTCTATAGTCTAGTCTATAGTCTAGTCTATAGTCTAGTCTATAGTCTAGTCTATAGTCTAGTCTAGTCTATAGTCTAGTCTATAGTCTAGTCTAGTCTATAGTCTAGTCTATAGTCTAGTCTATAGTCTAGTCTATAGTCTAGTCTAGTCTATAGTCTAGTCTATAGTCTAGTCTATAGTCTAGTCTATAGTCTAGTCTATAGTCTAGTCTATAGTCTAGTCTATAGTCTAGTCTATAGTTCCAGTTACCCGAAATGTTTCATAAATTCTCTATTTACATGCATATACATACATATATAACAATTTTTTATCCTGACCTCTTATCTCGAAAAAAGTCAAAACGCCATTAAATTCTTAGCTCTAGCAATGCGTCATGGTACTAGAGGTGTATAAGTAATTCAGTACACAATGGTTGTGTTTTTTTTTTTTTTATTATTGTTATGCCAAACCAACATAAGCCGGTGATGTCCTTAAGATCTTTATTTTTCAACATCTCTTTTATACGTACTCATGTTTTTTTTTGGTTTTTGTTTTATTCATTCTTAATAACACTACACATAAACATACATACAAATTCACTCATTAAAGTGTGCAGAAGTTCGTATGTTTG